ACCCATACTTATATTTTTCTTAGAATACTACCTTAATTATAAGCGAATAGTAATTCGCGTACGCTATACAGCCTACTTGTTGTGTAGATTTCGCTTTTATTTCAGTCACTTAATGTATTCTTTCTATTCAGATGCTAAATAATTGGGTAATCAATCACTATTACTTACACAGTTCCTCTCACTCAGAATGTAAACGGCTCCAAAATAAGTCATCATATCATGCTGTTGATTATTTGTGAGAGTGAAATAACTACGGTTTTAGATTTCCGAAGTTATTCAAAACGAAGACGCGCATAAATTAGGCTTCTCATATCTTCCTGCTCATCAGCAAAAGCTTATCTATAACTCCGAGAAATTTCTCAAAAGGATTACATCTGACAATAGTATTGTGATAAATCATAATACAATTGTGGCAGTACATACATTAGCTGAAATCCTTGTATCCAAATGAAAAAATTTACAACTGATAGATTAGATTTCTTTAAGTGCAGTATTTACCTTCTTGAAAATCATACCACCAAAGAAGTTAATTTGCAATTTGTAGTTTTCTAATTTATCAAAAATGATGAATTAATTCAGGGATAGAAATTTGATTCCACTTATATTGCTTTCAATGGTGAATAGCAATAGAACCTGTCTCCCTTCCCTTAGAAGATGCCTTCACCAAGATGTATGGGTGAGCCCCAGCCCATGAATTTAACTACATTATCTAGTGCCCGAAGCATTAAATCACATTATCTGGTAGCATTGCATTGAGATAGTGTCTTTTGAAGTATTAGTTGTTTAGTTTGACAATCTGCAAAGTGTCAGTATTCAACGTGCTGCATTTGTATTTGAACGAATGATCACCAACAGGATGGAGGAGGGTTATACTATTGACTAAATTATTTATTGGGGTCTTGATACACCCCAGGTTTTATTTTTAAATTCAATTATTACCCATCTGTATTTAAATCTGTACTTTAAACTAGGGGCAGACAGTTTTACAGGCAAAAATATTATAATATCAGATCCCTAATGCTAAAACTACACAGAAATGAATGACCCATCACTACAGTATATTTAATTTAAAATGTGATCGGCAATTACTAGAAAGATACTGATTTGTGTAGCTTGCATCATCTGTTTACTGTAACTCGTGATACTTAAAACTGTTGATTTGAGCAATGTAGCGAAGTGTGAACTGCCTAGTTGAAGTGATTTTTTTCTGCCTACAGGTATTAGATGGCATTATATTTAATAGTTCATAAAGCATTAAATATTTCCTCTCTTTGACATCTTCAAAACACCGAACATTCTCACCAGTTCTTATTTAAGTTTTCTGCTGTTTGCATTCGTTCTTTTCCCTTCTTTTTTGTGTACTACTTCGAAATATGGCGATTTCACTTCTGTATACAGTCATAAGTTGATTAAACAATCAGTCAGTGCCGACGAGCACAGACAAGATGATGATATAACCGGATGTCTGTTTTTTCCCTCAGCCGACGTGGACCAGAGAATACTTAGTAGGCTGAAACAGATTGTCGAAAATTTGAAGTATATTTTGCGAATATTGCATGAACAACGAAAACCTAACACGACAGCGTGCCAAACAGCTTAGGCGCTTCACCACATAACTTCAGCTTAACCAGTGAGTGTTAGCACATAATGCTGAGCGATGCACGCTGTAAGATATTAATGTCAGGGATTTATTTACACCTACAGATTTCTTGTAATACACTGAGCGACTGTAAAAACGAATATGCTTGCTATAGTGTGTTTATAAAGAATCCCTAAGGTAACTTCAGGCTATTCTAAATTATATAAAATAATCCCAGCGTGTTTAAGAGAAAACTAAAAACAAGGATTTTTTGAACGTTTTCACTGTGTAAGCCATAATCTGACTTGGCGCTCAAATTATTCCAGGAAATTCGTAACATCTACGGTCTGGAAACCTATAACCTCAGACTACTTTGACGTGTTTGCATGAAGACACATTATATAAGCATAAATCCAAACAATTAATCCTTTCCCCTTGTGTGCCTATGAATTAGAATATGCAAACACAATCATCATATAAATTATTTACATCATATGATATGTCTTAAGGTTTCATTGATTTGCATTCTTAATTACCCATAGAACAATTTGTTCACTTGTGAAGGATTATACAAATTGACACCATTGAACAAAGAAAAAACAAACAAATTAGAATCCTAATGTAGTAATGAAAAGACAAGTTGTTTTCAGTGTATATGTATTCAGTGACTTAGGAGAAACATGTCATTAAATAACTATTTATCTAGGGTAGTTAAATGAAAAAAAAACAAATTTTTAAAAGAATACATAACTAAAGCATAAGTTATTTAAACTACTTTAAACAAAGTGACAAAAAAGTTATAACATATCAGTCTACCCCTATGTAGAATTAATTAAAATCACTTGGACTGCTGAAAAAAGAATTTTATTCATTAATAAGAGAGAAATGAAACTTTTTATTCAACGAAGAAACATGTTTGTACAACAATTACTTGAAATTGTTTTGAACAAACTGTAGTGTCATTTTTATATTTTGTGCAAGCAAACACAGTCACAGTCAAACAAAAATGTCACAGTAAGTGTGTATATGCATGTGAAAATGAATATGAAAGGACCTTGAATTGTATGGAAGACAAAAAAAGAATTGTTGAAGAGAAAAAGGATAGAATTACGTAAACTAATATACATAGGACACTGATAAAGAGAGAGGGGGAGAGACAGATGAAATGAAGACTAGTGAATGTTTTTCAGGTCTAGTTGGCAAAACGAAATGAATGGATGTGTACCAGCCATCTCATTAAGAGTCCTAGTTTACTGACTCTTAGCGTCTGAAAGAACCTAGACAGGTAATCCTGCAAAGTTAGACTTTAGATATCCAAAAAGGTACGGAAGCACCAATGATCTTGGAACAAGCATATCTGCACTAAAAAGCAGATTTTGTCCCCTAATCCTTCCTTCACCTAACCCTAACCTATCCCTAGCCAACTCTAATATCTCCCTAATTAGAATAATCTAACCCTGACCTGTCCCAAGCCTACAGTTAACCTTAATCTTCCCCCAGGCTAACGTAGGACTAACCAGATATCCTGTTTAATATCATTACACTTCATCCAAAACTTTTCTCCAAGTTGTTTACCTGGCTTCAACGCCTTCCTGTGGCTTCGCGTTGCATGGCCAGTGATGCGTCAGTTGGGTGTCCAAATTTTCATTTCACCAGTAAACTACATGGCTTAAACCAATAGTCAAGAACTTCATAAGTTGGTGCTAAATTTTGTTCCGACTACCTGTAATTGTTTTCTAACAATCTTACTTCGGTCAACACTGCTAATCATAGAAAAATAATAATAATTTACTTTATTCCAAAAACAGTACTTATGATACAGAATGGAATTCTCAGTATTTGTCACAATATTGCATCTGATTTACTAAATATATATATAATTATTAATTAAAACAAAATTAATCGGAGGATTTTGTCCACATTTACGACATAATTATTAGATATAATAATAATAATAACAGTGAGTTTGTTTCAAACAGTATTGTCGATTCAATTTTGGAAACTTTAGCATGTTATATATTATTGGGTCTAATGTTCTGCTGCTATAGTATAGTGAGGGGAAATACAAAATTAACAGTCATAATACAGCTTAAAATTATGACCACACTTATGAAAAAAAAAATAAATAAATAAAACGAAAAATTGAGAGGATTATAAGTATAAGAAATACAATAACAACAAAGTTTAATGCTTTAAGAGTGAAGGAAATGGTTTATTGAGTGGTGCTAAGAAGGTTAGTTAGTTCATGTCTGACGCTATTTTCATCACATAAAGTACGTGCTAAATATGGTATAGTGGAATTTTTATACTTAGACGTACGTGCATAAAGTCTCCTGAAAAGACTTCTTGTTTTATCTGAGGAGACACAAAGTTGGAGCTGCGGGTAGAGTGGGTGCTCAGAGTCTGACAAAATTCCTTTAGCGAATTTGTTGCATGACATCAAGTGCCTATCAGTGACAATGCCAACGATATGGCCCAATGGGATACCACTCGTCCTACTGACAGTCTTCAGAGTTCTACGAAGTATGACATAGTCCTTTTTAAGCAATGCAGGAAAAAATAAGGGTGAACAGTAAAGAAGAATAGATAAAATACACGAGTTGATAAACTGTAAGAGGAGTGGTTGAGTTATGCCTGAGTGCCTTAACTTCTTAATGTAAAAAGTCAGACGAAATATTCTTTTAGAAATCGCTAAGACATGAGAGGACCAGGATAGGTCAGAAGAGAGAGAATTAATCCAAGGTACTTAACTTCAGACTTGCTTTCTATATCAGTATCATCGATTTTGCAAGGGTCATAGGAACCAACGGCTTCATTTAACTTTCGTTTACATCGGAAACTAAAATTAACAGTCTAACATTTGGAAGGATTAAGTTTAAGGCCGTTAGACGAAGACCATTTGCTAATTTCTGAATATGAATAGAACTAAGGCATAAAAGGTATTTCTTACCAATGCGTATCGAATTTCTATTCAAATGCGAGACTATGAAGTCAATGAATTTCAGCTTCCGTCAATCTATGGCTAGCTTTGAGATGCATTTCCTGAGATTATAGTGAGAATTTGTAATCAGCAGAGTCAGTCACGTCAGGTGTACAAGAACAGTTACCCATTGTTGTTGGAGATAGCACTATATTTCAGAGAATGAAGAATTTTAAGATTCTTAAGCCACTGAATTGAAAATCGACAAGTAAATGATAATGCATTCGCTTCATAACCTTACCATCCTGTTTCCATCTAAGATAGTGTCATGCGTATGCAATGCCAAAGAGTCATGCACTACGATGAAATAAAAGTCGGTTACTTCCGAATTTCCAATGGATCTCTAAATGATGACAAAATATAAACAAGTTTTACTTATAAACATTTTTTTAATTGAAAGTAAATGCCTTTTCTCGCATTTATTCAGGTTAATGTTTCGTAATGGATCGTTATGAAAAATTGACAAGAATAGGTGAAGGCGCCTATGGTGTTGTATTTAAATGTCGTCATCGGGATACTGGAGATATAGTTGCTATAAAAAAGTTTACAGATTCTGAAGAAGATCCTGTTATTCATAGAATTGCAATGCGAGAAATCCGTACACTAAAGGTAAGCTCTAACTCTTGTTGATTGTATCTGTTGGAAATAAGCAGCATTTGCTGGTTTATAAGCTCCTTTAGATAGATAAATCGATATAGACTTGATCTTTGATTGGAATTATGAGTAATGCTTTAGTGTTTGAAACAAAAGCTGGTAGATTTGATTGCACCATTTGCAAAAGATACAGGTGTGTATACACAATGGGCTCAGTACTCCTTATTCAACATTAAATGAATCATCACGAATGTTTTGAAACATATTTATTCATTATTTCCATGGATATAGCTCTGCTTCTTTATCAAAATGCCATCTGAAATTCTGTGAAGATCTGTCTTAATTTATGATAAGTTCACATTAGTCATTATTCATCTTTTAGTTTGACTAAAATGAAAATGATACTTCATTGTGACTTAACTTGTGCAGTGGTAGTTAGCAGTGGAAGTGAGGATGCCTTTTTTGTCCTCTTCAAAACTCATCAATTGAACGTGTCTACTACCCAATGAGTGATGGTTTCCCCAAATGAGAACACCATCAATTCAGATGATGGGTCTCAGGATGAAACACTCCACCAGTAAACACATAAAATCATGTTATTAATCATAGTATTATGAGAGTATCAGTTTAAGGAGTTCGCTGAGAGAATATAGGCTGTTGAATTCAGTCCAGATATATCAGTCAGTGAGCAATCATATTATTATCTCCTTTAATTCCTAGAGGAACATAGAGCTTCAGCCGTGCGTCTCCATTGCGTTCGGTTCTCTGCTAGAGTCTTCACCTGGCTCCAAGTCTGCCCACACGTTTTCACCTCCTCTTCACATGACCTCCTCCAAGTCACCCTTGCACTGACGACCAACTCGCCACTTCCCTTCCGGGTCCCACTCGAGCAATGGCTTGTCTAGTGATGTCACTTGATGGTTTTCTCAGAGTATGGCCAATCCATCTATTCTGATACGTAAATAATGAAAGTGTATAACAATGTTTAAATCAAAGTTTAAATATCATTGTTGGTGTTCAGCCAGATTCTTTAGTGATGACTGTTAACACAGACGATGAAACATCTTCATATTCCATATTGGAAATAGGACTTCAAGCCTTGAAGTTTCAGTATCGATGATATTGTTTTCTCAGTGTTGGTTCGCTAGCCTCACAGTCAACGTTTTCCCTTCTCTGGGCTTGTTAACAGCTGGTAAAGTAAGCGGTGTTTAAGAGTGCGTCTGCAGGTAATCGAACTGGGGCCATATGCGTGGCTGGTGAGATTTCTACCAATAAACCACTGACTCACCAGAGAAATTGAGTACAGTGAATGTTACCCATTAAGTTCACTGAAAGACCAGTTAATCTATTAGTTAATCATTTGGGAAAGAATAAAAATCAAGTAAACACAAAACATTCAGATTGAGAAATTGTAGTTTTGTATACACTGACTGGCTGTTGTTCTGATATTTATGTGAAGTACTTTCATCTATCTGTTTATATTTTCTAAGTGATATTAATCAACCCCATATGCTCTTTCTAAGAATCAATTACATTATCGTAAATATATATTGTTTTTTGGCGTCCGTTAAGAAAAGATACACTCCAGTATATTATTACTCAATGTCTATTGACCCTGAACAAAATTATCCTTTCTCATGAAATATTAGACTTTACTGGTTTGAGCGCATAGGGTGTTGTAGACCATCTAGTTGGGGTCCCGGAGACTGCTGCTTACATGGCTCAAGATTATTCTCAGTAGTCCACATTCGTTCACTTTTTCTGATCTCTCGAAGCATTTAAAACATTTTCGTTCATTTACATTACGAAAGGAACATACGGCTTTAAGCTAGAACTTTAGAGTTTCGGTAGCAGTGATTTTATTTTTAAGGGGTAGAATTGCTAGTCTTACTCCTCTTTACCAGCCTTAATCCGACATAGCGAGGTTTAGGAATGGTTTGGGGATCGAACCTCAGACCCCGTGCATAGTCGGTGAGCGTTATACTGGTGAACCCCCTACTCCATTAAATTCTCACTATTCTTCATTTAATTATTTATTCTGACTCACAATTCCATTTACTGCAGTTTCGTTACATTTCTCTCCTCTCTTTTTCTACTCTTATGTACACTTTATAAGGAGCCTCAACTTGAACTGCTATGCCTTAATATAAAGTCTTATGTTGAGAATTCAGTCCAGTGCATGAGATTGGTGTGTTCGTTAGCCTTTAATTTAACTGAAGTAGTAAAAAAACAAGATTTAAAGGAATTAGCGACGACCGAAAGTGAGATGAAAATCTTGGTTGCCACAGGAATTTGAACTGTAGGTGTAGCGTTTGCTACTGACAAGATTTTGTGAGTAGTATATTGTGTGTGGTGTCTTATTCCTCAAGAATATTGAATAGAAGAGCGGCGGATTAAGCTACGATGAGGAAAAATAAAAGATCCTAGTGAAACAATATAGAAAGCATGAAAGATAGACAGACAAGAGAAGCATTATACGAAGAACATGTGCAAGTGGAGATTTCAATGTAATCATGGAAAATTCCCATTGTAACATATAGAAAATCAAAACAAATGATTCAGCGAAGAGACTCTTTTCAACAAATTTATCATCAAGCTGTACAATCATATATATGTATGGTTTTTAAGAAGTTATATCCGGTTAGCGAATTGAAACATAGGTGTGAATGCATAAAATAATAATAGTATGAAATGCAATTAAAACTAAAATGTTTGTGATTATAATCGTAGTTAAATGTCCAGTGGCAAAGCAAATTAATGTCATATATAGAATAATTCATAGGATGGAGAGAACTTGAAAAAGGGTGTGCAATTATAAGATTAGTAGATAAATCGAATAAAATAAAAGCGTTACGTAATATTGTGTGAAATTTAATAGCATAGAATTTAATGTTGTAAAAAGGAATTGATTTAGAATGACAAGTGGAACAAGTGAAATAATACCGGGGACAATTAAAAGTGAGAGTAGTAATAGTAACAATTGACGTAATAAGGAAGAGTATACAAATTGAATAGACAAAAATGAAAAAATGAAGAATTGGTAGAGCTAAAATATGATTGGGGATTACCATACTTTAGCATAGAGGGATTAAGACCATGAAAGTTGGAGGGGTTGAACGAACTTTTTCTGTACATAGAGATCTGGCTTTTCTATTTCGATAGCCAAAGATGGCTTCAGTAATACAGATGAGTCGGGTACGTAGGGATTTGGGTAAATTACTCTTTGCCTTGTAGATGACTTTGAAGGCGGAGTTTAGCTGAGTTATGTCTCCTAACTGCTGATAAGTCCATTTTTTTCACTAATGCAACTATCTCAGAGACCTAAAATGATCTAAATTTTTACCGTGCCTTTAACTATCGGCTATTACATGAGTAATATTGTACCAACCCATGAAAATCTCAGCTTCACAATTAATAAAATCTTAATGCAAATATTTATAGCCTTGTATGTAGATGTTTGTAATTGGTTGTTCCTTAGGGTGAAATCTCAGTTTACCAATACTTTGAAATTATGTTGAACATAATCTGTGTAGATTTGGAAATCTGCACAAAAATTAATGTTGTCACACATTTTAAAATCATATTCGCTGACAGGTTTGTGTTGAGTTATGTTGAGACTGATTAACTGATATCTTACTGGCATATCCCTCAAGGACTATGCTGACTAGCTTTTATTGAGTATGAATTTACAGCTTATTCGTTCAATATCAGTCACTTTGTCCTGATATGCTTTCAAATCATGAATATACATGAAGAGCATATACTTGTTTTAAATGGGATTATTTATTATTATTATTATTAAGATTTTACTTCTTTACGTTCCCAGTGGTAAATAAAGCTTCAGGCTAGAGGGATTTGAAGCTTTGTCAGTAGCGGTGCTTATTTTCACGCAATGGGGTTGCTAGCCTCATGCCCAACCTTCTCTCTTTACTGACCTTACTACCAGGTTAGCGAGGTTTAGGAGTGCGTCGGCCAAGGATCGATTCACAGACCACGTGCATCGTTAGACAGCACTCTACCGCTGAACCATCGACGCTGTTTTAAATGTGATTCCTTTCTAAATTCTTATCAAGAATACAGTGTAATAATCCGCAACCAATATCCTATGACTGTGAATATATACGGCACCAAAAAACTAAGAACATCAGGAAGGAATCGCTGAAAGACCTGAATAACTTTCATTTCTGCGATACATCAAACTTAGTTGGCATTAAAATGTTTAGTATGAACCTGAGTCGAAATTCCACCTAAAAGTTTAATAAACATGAAGCTCTGAGTGAAAAGTAGACATATACATACAAAAAAGTTAGATTTTCAGAGATTTCAGAGGTATTGAAATAAACTATTCCAAAGTTTCATTAATTAAACATTTCTTCAAAGAAATTCACAAAATTTTTCTGAAAAGCAACGTTAGAATTTTGGGTTTTATTACTGCTGATGAAATTGCTACAAATGTAAAGTTTTTTATGTTTTGCAAGTTCGAAGTCTGAAGAAACTAAAATGAAGAAGAAACACTTTTTTGTCTCATTATACTCTCAGAGTATTCAACATCTTCACAGTGAAATTCAGAATAATATATCTAGGCGAATAGTACTGTTTTCAATTAGGCTTCATCATATTTCATCATGCATAACTTTACTCATAAAAGTGAACTGTAGACCAGTCATAGTGATTTATCAACACGATGATAAAACTCTGCATACAAATTGTGCAATTAGCCATAATGGTAGTGATAATATTGTTTGAATAAAAAAAGATGAAAAGTGGCGCGATTTGTGATAACACACCTCGGTGGGTGTGTACTGTGAAGAGTCTCAAACTAGGACGAAACAGATGTCCAGTACTCCCTGCTGATTTTCCAGTCGTTCTCTAGCTGATGTCAGCTCATGATGAAATCCTGTAATCAATCAAACAGAATCTCTACAAAACCTACACCTGAAAACGTAGGAGATAAAGGCTAAGAAAAACAAACAATCAGATTGTAAGGCAAGTAAATAAACTGAGTTTTCAAAGGAGTGATAAGACATGGGAAGAATTGATAAGGAAGGGATTAAAAACATACAAGGATTGGTGGCACAGTCAGTTAGTTAGTTCCTAACTGGCTAATACAGGAATGATGGCTGTACGAACTTGTTCTGAATGTATAATTTACGCTTAATATTTCGAGTGACAATCGCCTAAATAAACTATATACGGAGGACGAAGGTAGAGACCATTGGAAAGATGACAAAGTTAAACTTTAAGCACCACTAACTACTAATCAGCAAATGACCTTGAAAGTACCGATCATATGAAGGAGACATTTTTGGATATGGAATAAACATATTTATGAAAAGAATGCGTTAAAAACTATATAAAACTGTTACAGGGGATACCTTTCTCTAATATGTAATAAAAACATTTCCCAGTTTAGCATAGGAGTATCAATTGAAAAGTTAAATCACATCCTTTACATATATTCATCCAAATGTCTATAAATGACATCCTTTTGAGAGACATTAATGGCTCTAATCCTGTTTTTTAACCTTCCCCAAAAGCCTTCTACAGAACTAGTGTGTGTCCCTGAAATAGGATCCACGAAATCATTAGAACGGTTAACTCTGTGGTGGATATATACAAGGGATGATAAGGAGTTTTAACCTACCAACTCATGGGTGTGTATTATAGATCAATGTTTCACCAGTCGAGTGATAATAATTATTAAGGTAGTTGACTTTTTATCTGCTATCTTCTCGACGAATCATTTCTGTAGAGAGGTATCATATAAACCAATCACGCAAACATTATTTGCTCGTTCACGACCACAGTTGTACTTTTTCTTTATTAAGACAGTTTCATCCACATGTACGACGATAACTTCTCTTCTCAATAACGAAGTAATTCTCTCCATTTTCCATAATGCGATATCCCTGCAGTACTGGTACCACTGAGCCGTTGAAACGAGACTGCTTTCAGTTTCAGCAGCTGCACCTCTCACAGGCTGCTTTCAAACACAGTAATTGCAAACATGCAAAATCTGGGTTAAGAACAAATGGGACCTGGCAAAAAAGTGTGCATACGAAATACTAGAATCATCAGCTTATCTCCCCTGACACAAACTCGTCTCAAACAAACTGCACAACGATGCACATATCCATCAACCGATCTGATGAAGCTTTTTATACTCATGACACCTCCACATGAACAAATCTTTTTTCTTATCGACCCCACATCCAAGCAATCCTGGAAAAACTTATTCTCAGCAGATTGCAAGCACAACTGAAAAGAGCAGGCATTTGACTTGAATCAAGCGGAATAGAAGTTTCAACTCGCATGGATGAAACTCATTGGACCATTCAAGGTCAGTGGTGCGGTTGCACTTCATCGGTATTTAGTGGTGCTTAAAGTTTAACTTGGCCGGAAAGTTTGATGGGAAACAATGAATCACCTTGAATGCTTTCGTTTTTACCACTGAATGAACACTATCGACTAAATACGATAAAATGGAGCTTCGGATGGTTTTATCTGTCCCTTTCAAAGCCATAGTAGCAGATGCTGAGTGATACGTTGGCTAAGCTGTCGAGCAGTACTCCGAACACGGTTGTCTCCACAAGAGCAGCTGAACTGACAAATACATATAGATGTGGCAAAACTATACAGCTTATCCTTAGTTTCAGAACCAGTCATTTGCCGACCAGGAAAGGACAAACACAACTTTACTGCATAAAATCTCCTCGGTATAGCTGAGGCTGGTTTCCGGAGGATAATTTGATTTGAAAAATCTCCATTAAACTGTAACTTAATAAATGATGATTTCAAGATATTCTGCAACTCCTTGCCAACTGATTTTGATTTGTTAAATAATTCATCATGAGATCAAATGAAACAGAAGCTGAAAGACAAAAAGAAAAATTATCAGTGATACAGTCGTTAAACAATTTAACTATCAAAATATCATTCATTTAACCATACTTTTTTTCCCTCCTGTTTTTTCCTAATTTTCTCACATCTCACAGCAATTAAAACATCCGAATTTAATAAATTTAATTGAAGTATTCAAACGTAAACGTCGACTGCATTTGGTATTTCAATACGTTGATCATACATTACTACATGAATTAGAAAAACATCCTAAAGGGTAAATACTTTTTATTGTTATTGTCGATTTGTTTTCCTTGTTTTATACAAGTATTAAGCATTGTACACACTGAATCACTTTAATTTGCGGACAGTTCAACATGAAACTTTACATACATTTGTTCATTAATTAGTATAAGTGGTTAAATTTTAGGAAAGATAAAAAAACTGATGGTCAGCCATTTATGTTCATGGGGCGTTGAATTATTCAGAATCACATAAAAAGAAAAGATATGAGTAGCACTTCCAAACAAGAATCAGATCAAAAGTGAATCGTTTCACCACATTATTATAACATCAGTAAAAGCCGGTTACAACACCAGCCTAGACGTCTTTTAGTCTTAAGTTATACCTGAAGTATTATCTCTGGTCTAAGGAATCTAACCCGCTTCATTATTACTGATAACCGGCTTACTGTTCAATGTCCCCATTTATCTAAATTTTTCTTGTAACAGTTTTATTTGAGAGAAGTGATTCATTGATTTTGCAGCAAAATAGTATCTTCTGAACTACAGACATGACGTTGAAACTGTCAAGTGATTCATATTGGTCAGCTGATAAACGAATACAAAGATGTTTGCAGTCATTGAGGCGGTGCTATTAGGGTAATTAAATCAGGTGGTGGAAATAATAGTTGCATTGGATGGTTGAAGGCAATTTGTAGGAAGTTTTGGATTCAGGTTTCATGCCACTTGATACTCGTCAGGAAGATGTGTCTGCAATCTTGAAGGAATTCATCTCCCTTCTGAGATTCTAACAGGTGTCAATGAATGCTGCAATCAGAGACATTGACGCTAAGCTGTTTGAGCTCGCGACTGACCTCCCTTAGGACTGCATTGGATCCTTTGATTAGAAACAGTTCAACAGTAGGTTAATCGCGAGCCGAATAGCTCTGTGACATTGTCTGTGACTGCAGCACTGAGTGACACGGGTTCGAATATCACAAGGGAAATGAATTCCTTTAGGATTACAGACATACCTTCCCGATGAGTGCCAACAAGCACGAAACATAGATCAAGCAACAAAGCTTCTCACCCGAGTGCCTCCAACCACCTAATAACAACATTTACTATTCTTCTTTAATAATAATAATAATGGCTTTATTCCAAACAGTACTTGTGGTACAGGTATGGAATTTTCAGCGTTCATTACAATATTGCATCTAATTACCTCATAAATTTTATAAGGATTTAAAAATATAAAGCAACAACAACAAAAAGAAAAAAGAGAAATAAAAGAAATAAAAAAGAACAGCATTGCATTCACATTTTAAACAATGCACCACAGGATATGATATATAAAATTAGTCTGTAATAGAATATATGAGCAACAATATAATAGTAACAAAGAAAGGGGAACAAAAGCTAATGGGAACTATTTGTTAGAGTGCCGCAGTAAGGTGATCGTGTCATGCCTAACAGTTTTCTCATCACATAACAGCTGTGCCAGATAAGGTATTGTGGAGTTTTATACTTGGTAGTCCTGGCATATAGCTTCCTATAGTTGCTTCTAGTTCTACCAGATTAAATGCAAGGAGAGAGCTGCGTATGGAGAGGGTGTTCGGGGTCTGACAATATAGAATTCGCTAGTTTCTTACATGACATTATATGTCTATCCACAATTGTGTTAACCAGTTGGTTTAACGAAGTCCCACTTGCCCTACTAACAGCTTTTAGTGCCCTACGCAGAGAAGCAAAGTCTTTCTTAAGTAGTCCAGGAAAGATTAATGGGGAGCAGTAAAGGGGGATGGTTAGAATACAAGAGTTGACAAACTGAGAAAGCAAAGACTGCTTTATTCCAGACTGCCTTAACTTCCTAACGTAGAAGGTTAAGCGAAACATCTTTCTAGTCACTAGCAAGATGTGAGAGGACCAGGAAAGATCGGAGGAAATACTCAGTCCAAGGTACTTGACATTAGATGTAGTTTCAACCTCTATGCCGTCAATGATAGTGGGACCATGTGAGCTAGCTAGTTGTTGTAGGTCACTTTTTCGTCTGAAAGTAAATTTACTACCTGACATTTAGACGGATTCAGCTTAAGACCACTGACTAATTTCCGAGAGAAAGTTATTTAATATGGAACAGTCTGACTGAGAGTTGACAGGCATGGAGACAGAGAGGTCATCAGCATACTTGACAAAAGTGGCTACATCAGAATGGGGCAAGTCATGTAAGAAAAAAGAAAACAGAAGAGGAGAAAGAACATGAATCATGGTTGAAAGTATCTTAAGACATAAGCGACGATATGGTTTTTATTTTGGTCTTCCTCAGACACTACAGTCATGCACATAGCTTTGTGTATAAAGGTTTTTAATCGATGGCAGTGAATTTCCGAACCAAGTACAAGTGTTAAATGTTGTAAATATGTCAATAATAACGATATTTATATTGATACCTATAATAATGACAATAAGTTCAGCGATAATAAACGTAAAAGCAGATGATGAAGGTGGCGATACGAATAATAAAAATAACATGATAATATAAACAATGCAAAAATTAAATCAGGTTAAACCTTATAAAAAGTTATGAAATACTGAAGATGAAGTGGATAATCCGAATTTCAGTAAATATAATAAGTGCATGAAAGAAGTGAAGTATAAGAAAGGTATGAGAAGTTTTAAACAGTTTATTGTATGTACCTAGGCCCAGGGTGAGATGAAGGCTGAACAAACTCGAATTCCTGTAGTTTCGGCCGTATTTAAAAGATGGGTTCGAATTCTGTCTGAAAAGTTCGACGGAATGCAATAGATAATCTTGAAAGCGCTTCTTCTATCCACCTGCTGACCACTGTATATCAAATGAAAGAAAACAGGACTTCTTATTGACTTCGTCTGACTTTTTCTTAAACATGAGTGATGCTCAGTAATAAATCTCTTGGGCTGTCTAGTTGTTTGCCCTACATAGCTTTCTCTGCAGAAGGAGATAAAGTTTTAAATGCACGTGAAAGTGGCTAAATGGTTTACCTGTGGTCAGCTGGGAAATCATAAACAAAGGGTGGTGGAATAAAAAGTCCTTTTTGTGACTCTGGATGATCTTAGATGTACGACTTCAGTAGCCACTATTTTTCATCAATATCACTATCAAAAATAAAGCTGTCATTAATCTGAAGCAAGGGTAATGTTAGCTGATATAGGGCCAGTCTGGAAAAGAGCTAGCGGCGGTCAAACGAAAACATGGCACCAGTCAATGAAATCCACAACAGTTAGTCTAAGCCACGTAGGAAGGTGTAGACTGCCTTCCTGGTTGAGGTCCTCGGGATAGTAAAAACCAATGGTTGGAAACAATTGGTGACATGGCTCAAAATCGTTGTCAGTGGCGCAGATGCATCCACTCCTTATGACTTATGATTTCCAATTAAACTGTTTTGTTCTCCGTTATTACTATTCCTTTGTCTCACACCTCTGTTTACTGTCTGTATTATGCATTTCTTCTACTTTCTTCTCTTGCTTTGTGTGCTGCATGGAGGGAGTGTGGCGACTTGAACTGCCGCACATGTGTGCAAAGTTCTATGTCGAAAACCGACCGACCGACCGACCGACTATCAAAACTATTTGTTTTTTATGTCTTAACCTGTTTCACTATTATTATCTCCATCGTTATTATTATTATTCATTCTACAGTTTTAATTATTAGCTATTTCTCTATATGATAACTGTTTATTTACTACAGTAGCGTAGCTCAGTTGCAGTCCGCGATAGTCTAAATTTTTGGTCTCTCAAATCCCTTCCATCCTTTAAAATATGAACCTGACCTGTACAACATTTACACCGTTTGTCTTGTTATGACTAATTCATTGTGGTTTACTTATTGGTCACATACCTCTTGAAATACTTCACATTGTGCATGCATTCATGTGTATAGGATATTCATCGGACTGATTCAGCTGGTTGTACCTGCATCCCATAGATTGATAGCGTTTCCTCTGACGGGTTCCATAAAAGACAAAACATACATTCTTGACTTCAGTGTTATTTATAGTTAAGTGGAACATACAGTGTTAACCTTAAGGTATTTTCTAATCATCCATACGAGGGGCTCACCAGTCAAGAGTTTCTGTCTATTGTAATCAACTGGCGGGATCTTTAAAATGAATTCAATAAATGTTCAACCAACTGTTTATCACTGGACTTTCTATCTAGCTATATATTTTCATTCTAGTTAGATTTCATCCAAAATAGAGAATTAAACTGATCGTCTAATCTTTAAATAAACACACTCCAGTGATTTGATAAAACTCTATATAGTAGATGAACCATATTAGATGTATGATATCTTGTGATAATATTCAATTAACTAAAACGATAAGTTTGAAGTTCATCTTCCACATGAAATACACTGACTGACACTTCAATGTTAAAAACAATCACCTACATCTCTGTGTTAGTTTTTTTTTAAAAATTACACAAGTATTCAGTGAAAGTTTTAATAGTGAGGTTTATATATGGCTCACCAGTTAAGGGAATGAAAGGATGTCGACGTTTACACAAGATAGGCTTTATAAAAATGCAAGTTCCTATCTTGTAACTCCTAAAAAGCTTTTTCTGCCAAGACTAGAAACAAGTCAAAACAACAAATTAATCGCCCAGGATACGAGATACATTTTGGGAACAGATCTGTTGGGTGATGATGGTGATTGCTAGGAATTCGTTCACGAACGACTGCACATAACTCAACAGCGTGACAAATGTTGGGGATGCTTCCATATCAGTTCGTTAATTAGATATATCACACAGTGAAACAGTATTGTTATTTATTGGATGACAAAGTTTCGAACACAATTCAGTATTGTTCATAATCATATCAGCTATAATCACACAACTTCGAAACACCCGTTTTACAGTTTTCTTTATTTTTTCCTATTCGTCGTCTTAGGGCTAGTAGAATTTTCCAGATGTCCTGGTCAACAGGTGTTGAATCATTTCTATCACACGTGTTTGCAGTTGATTCGATAAACAAACCTTCAGTTATCAATCTCTCTCTACACCCTGTCAAATTAGA